ACCATCCAGAGCATGATGAGAAAACAGGAGGCACGAAGGGGAAAGAAACGAGGGAGTTGGCTGGTCCAGGGGCATCCACGTCTTTTTATGGGTACGCTTGCTGGGGTGACCACACCTATCAGGTGCACATCTAGAGCCCTATTCTGCGGCTATCAGAGGAGATGCAAGCGTCGATCATATGTGGGCTACTGACCCGGAGGCTGGGATTGAAGGCTGGTCAGTCTCCTGAATCAATGCGCCAATATATGATAACCCAGGGTCACGATAAGTAAATAGAAGTATGTGGAGCGCCCATCCTTCCGTAGTCAAATATGATTGTGGCTTTCACCCGTCGGGTTTCCTGCGAGTAAGATGACATCCTCACGAAATACGGTCAACCTCTATGAAAGGTTGAGTCTGTTAAAAACTAAAAAGTCTCGTATACACCTACTTTGGTGGTTCGAACCCCATGCATAATTCATAGGTCAACTGTTCAGTTGGTTCGGTTACTTGACAGAATTTAGTGGTGCTTGCCAGCTGGAATCAGGCTCATCCTTTGGGGATCAACTAATAGATAGATGCGGTTAAATGCTATCTTCTTCGTATGGAAGGGCCATTGGGTGCTTGGGTGATTGCTGGTCGCTGGTCGCTGGTCAGTTTTTAGGTTTTGTTGCCCTGCCTTGCCTGGCGTTACGACGTAATGCATAAAGGCGTCAAGAAAGTCATCCAACTACACAGGGTCCCAACGAGAATTGGAATTCCTGACTTTGTGATGAAAGTCCAACGCGTGTCGATGGTTGCAAGCTCCAAGTGGCAAAGAAAGGCCACCCCATTGACAATGTCAATGATTAACTAAGACCTAGCTAACTCGCTTGTTTCGACTCGTTTCAATTTCATCGTTTTTACGATGTAGCTCCTGGATATCTAATCTCGCTCAGGGCTGTCACCGACACAATAAGAGTATGCCTAATATATAATGTACCACTGACTGCGACGACCATGAATACACAAATGGTTCAATCTGATGATCAGTAATCCCCTCTGAGCCCTGAATGTTGGAAATACGCATCCTAAGGGGCGTTTAGTGTAACGGTAGCACGTCGAGTTGCAACTTGGAAGCCCGGATGTTCGAATCCCGGAGCGTCCGTTTCTTTTCTTACACTGAAAATTCTGACACTGAATAGGTCAATGCGAGCAATATACCGTTGCTGCTTGGAGAGAGTGGCACAGGTGTCGTGGTATCCTCACTTTGCTCCCTGCCCTCACAGTCCTGTATCCGTTCATCCTCCCATCTGACAGATCTGTCGCTTGGAATCAAGCTTGCTTGTCCTCTTATATTTCGACATGACCAGCACGCCGAGCGAGCACCAACTCAGGATTATAGATGGCGCGCTCCTAAGCGCGAAGCTCATCAAGGACGCATCCGAGGCGGCTGCAGTTTTGGGTCCGCTCAAAGTTACCGCTGGACTAGTGATCACGATCCTGGAAACAATTCGAGTAAGCAATGCATCAGTAGATCACAGTGAGCAACAACGAGACTCACGCCCACCATCCACTTAGGATGTAAAGACTAACAAGGAGGATTGGGTTACGCTCGGTGAACATCTTTCGAACCAAATTAAAGATATCCACGACGATCTGTCTCGCTGTCCGACCGCTCCTTCAACGGAACTCCTGCTAGTGGTCAACACATATGAACAGTGAGAAATACAATAGGGCTGTTTGGACTAATGAACCAATCATCTTTTTAGAAAGCTTGGGAACATACTCGCAAAAGTACGCCTGACCACGGGTCGTGGCAGGTTCGAGAGGTACTTGCATTCCCGTATGGACAAGGAGGAGATTGGAACGTTGCGTCGGGATGTGGATACGTGCTGGAAAGACTTCATGGTGTGCATGATGACTGCCTAGTGGTGAACACTGCCTAATATGTTCTTTTCTTCAGCGGAAGATCACCGTACAGGTGCATGAAGCGGCACATCGGATAGAGGAAGGCGTGAAGAATGTCGAAACATCAGTGGATGCCATAGGTAGGCATTCCACAGCCGTACGTGAATAACCACTGAACCGGATCCTATAGGCGATACCAGTTACATCGCCAAGCTGGTCCCATTCCCAAGCGCCACTGGGGCCGATCACAACACCTGCTTGACCGGTACTCGTACCGAGGTTCTAGATTATGTTCGTCAATGGGTAGACTATCAGAACCCAACCCAAGTCTGTTGGCTCACAGATGTCGCTGGAGCCGGCAAATCAACGATTGCCAAGCAGCTATCGGGCGAGTGGAAAACCGAAGGACGTTTAGGAGCCTGTTTCTTCTTCAACAAGAATCATCCCGATACTACCAATAAACAGGCATTTTGCGACACTGTTGCGGCTCAATTGGCAAACAACCAGCCTCAGCTAGTGCCGTCGATCGTCGATGGGATTAAAGCAATCGGACCTGTGCTTAGCGTATGCCCGTTTGAAGAGAAGCTAGAGAAGCTAGTTATTCGACCATTAAAAGATACGGCGGTAGTCCTCGTGATCGATGCTGCGGACGAATGTGAGGAAAGAGACAGGAACATTCTCCTCCGCAACCTCCTTCGCTCTCTTACTCAAGCGACGCGGCTAAAGATACTCATCACGAGTCGACCTGAGAGGGATATCACCGAGTTGCTCGGTTCCTATCGCTCACCTACAGATAGCCTGCACGACGTAGGGCTCAAATCGAATCAGCACGACATCGGAATATTTGTGAAGCATGAGATGGAACACCTCGTTCGAACTGGGAAATTGACGGCAGAAGAAGTGACCCAGCTCGCCAACCGGGTTAATTGCCTGTTCATCTTGGCAAGCACGGCCTGTAAAGTTATCCAGAAGTCACTTCGACCTCGGTCGAGGCTACAGGACCTGATGGATCCCAAACGAAATTCACTTGGTGATATCAACAAGCTATATTTGGCGATACTCACTAAGGCGTGCCAAGCGGACCAAGATGGACAATCGACAGACTCGGAAGCACCGAAGGAAGTGATTGAGGTACTTCAAGCGATTTTGGCAGCGGCTGCTCCCCTCTCTATATCGACCATAGATACGCTTCTCGGGAGCGAAAGTACGGGGCGTGTTGTCGAATTTCTGGCAAGTGTTCTGAATGTCCGCCACGATGGGACGGTTGTCATCCTACATCCGACCTTCCGCGAGTTTCTCGAGGATAGAAGAAAGGCCGGTACATTCCATATCGACACCGCCGAGGCACATGAGTTAATGGCCAAAGGATGTCTTGCAACCATGAAGCGAGAACTGCGGCTCAACATCTGTCGATTAGAGTCTTCGTTCATGCGGAACAAAGATGTACCAGACTTTGAAGAAAGAGTCTCAAAATATATATCGGGGCAGCTGCAGTACGGATGCACCCACTGGCTGGATCATGTCACAAAGAGTAGGGAAAGATGGGGTGAGGATGGTGGGACTGCAGTTCTTCACTTTGTGGGGGGAGGATCTCCTCTATATTGGATGGAGGTTTTGAGTGCACTAGGGAAGGTACCAAAGATATTAAGGGATCTGCAAGAGGTTGGAAGTTGGTACTCGGTGAGTGGCCTGGTTAGAGGTACATATAGACTGGACTGACTGATGAGGGAAGGAGAAGAAATTGAGGAATAAAATTGACGACATCAAGCAATTTTTGATCGCATTTTTGACACCAATTTCGGACAGCATTCCTCACATCTATATTTCGAGTATACCATTTGCAGCGAGAAAGTCATATATTCGACAAGAAGTAGAAGATTTGTTTCCCAAAACAATGTCAGTACTGACGGGGTGCTCAGAGAATTGGCCAGAGCCACCACAGGAGTGGCGAGGCCACACAGGCGGTGTCTCTTCTGTAGCATTCTCCCCAGATGGTCGTAGAATTGCATCTGGCTCCTTAGACCTGACGATCCGGCTGTGGGACA